TGGGATTTTCGATGAAGCAAAATCTTACTTGTTATGGAATCGATTACGTTACTTATTTTTAGTTTATAAGTAGACTTTAGATAATATATATATATATATATGATGCGTTCATCCTATTTCTTTTAGGTTGATAAAGGGACTGGTAGTTGAATTTTTCCACAACTGGCAAACATGACGTTTCCAGTCTCAGCAAAAATTCCACCACAGTTAGTGATACGGGAAAATGCCTGGCCTTCCTTAAAATTCACTTCTGCTCTATGACGGAGTGGTTAACGTGTCGAGGTTACACACTGCAATGTCATGATTCGAGTCCTGTTAGGGGTGTTTATAAGGCCTAGGCGAGGTCGAAACTGCAGTCCACTCCAGTCTGGATAATAATAGCTTTTGTGAAAGCAAGGCTGTGAAATGTAATGGAGACGTCTATTCATATCATTGTGGGAAAATTCAACAACCAGTCTTCTTATCACTCTAAACGAAATAGGATGAACACATCTCATATATATGATCTACTGGATATCTTAAAAGCCTACTTATAACTGAAAAAGAGTAATGGCATCCTTTTCTAGTGATCACAAATTATGCATGGAAGTCGTAAGGTGATTGTTCTAAAGAATTTATTCTGAATATAAGAGCTATTCAGCAAATGTAAGGCAGGAATGGAATTAGAAGGAGCCTTCAATAAAATGCAGATGAGTAACCCTCACCAACACCTACACAAAATATCCATACCGGTCATGAATAGCCGATTTGATATGCTCAATACCATAGTATTTCTTAATCTAAACTCTACTGTATCTGAAATTGGGCGGAATAGAGTAAGAGGAAGCTAGACTGTTAGGTTGAAAAGCATGTGCTGGCCTTCAATAAGCATCATATAGAATTGGACACTGGATGGCAACGGAGGAATACATACACTGCTGCATGCAGGAGTATTTACCGATTGCAAGCCTGCTTACTTAGGCCCGTCTGCACTAACCCAAACAGTTTTTCGGCTTGACTGTGCAACTTTGAGCTCGATCTTAATTTAGATAAGAATCTGAAAAAGTTCTGCCTAAACGATACCTGTCACAACAACTATGCGCAGCTGGCTCAATCGCAGCATAACTCATGTGCTTGCATTACTTGGCCCACCCAAGGTTAAAAAGCGCCAAACTGTTTGATTTTCCCCGGCTAGGCTATAGAGACGTCGGACAATACTATCGGCCTACTTTGAATTAAGATTGCGGCAGTTGTTGTGGGGTTCCGGTACTGAATGAGATTTGCGATCCTAAAAAGTCAGTATCGTCATTTTTTTCAGGGATTCTGAAAGGTTCCAAGGAAGCTATGATACTGATTTAATGTGAAGAAAAAGAAATTGAATAAAGCCTAAGCAGTACAAAATGTATGATAAATGAGCCAAAAAAATGAAAAAAGGCAACAAGTTTGCAGAAGAACCTACTTATGCGCAAGACACAGAACCTGCCCCACTGCCAAACGGGCTGCCTTTGCGGTGTTTGCATGATTCCATACAGTGTCCGAGTCAACCCCAGTGCCTCCACAAAGAAGCTCAGCAACCGGAGATGCTGTAGAGTTTCGTAGAGGTCGAGACACTCCGTCTGTATGATCGGCAGTGCCAGCCAGCAAAGGGGAAGATGTCGTATTTGGAGTGAAAACTGGTGTTATGGTTGAACCGATGCTGTTGCCTCTGAAATTCTCCGGAACGCTCGAGGAGTTCGACGAGACCGCGGCACCAAAAGACGCCCTTATTGGTTCTGCCTGGGACGAGGAGTTCACGTGAAAAGGAGCACCAAAATAAGGCAATGGGGTGCGTGGTGAAGGGTTCGTCACTTCCATGAGACGAGAGGTCGTCATTCCGTCGCCCAGGCTACCAAGAGATGAGGCAACCCTAAGGCTGCAGTTGCATTCTTCTTCATCATCACTGTGCCCATCGACCTTGCCATAACTGATCACGTGGCCAGTCGTGTGAAAAATCTCCAGTTCTCGCTGATATAAAACGAATAAATAAAAAGAATCCATCAAGTCTTCTAATGAAAGCGTAGCCCAACTGGAGGCCCAAAAGAAACTAAGAAAAAGCATCAACTTGAATTGTGCGGCCCACAGGTACATAAACCAATTAAAGTAGGAAGAGGTGATTTTCACAAATTGGTAGAGTCTTTAGATTGAATTTAATAAACTAGCCCTTTACTGAGTCATCTGTAAAAGTATACCAGCTTCTACTGACTTTATCATGGACTGCTTGCGGGCCTGCCCATCATGAAGAGAATGGAATGCTCTGTCTTGAAGCTAGGATCAAATGGCTTAGTGAATAATCTATTTGCCTCTTAATCAGGTTCTAGCCTTGCCGGGAAGGTAAGGGAGGGCCGGTTAGGTAGAAAGTCTAATCCAGCCTTGACGATAAAAGCGTGTACACATGCAAAATGGAGTGAAATTCAACGCAAAAATCAAATGTTTTCTCTATAAATTCAATAATAAACAGGGCGAAATGGTAAACAATCATTTAGGCTAACAAACAATCAAACACCATATATCCGTAAAAAAGACTGCGACTGAAAAATTATTCATCAAACTTCTCATGATTCGTGTTCACCAAAGTGGTAGGCCACCACAGATTGGGCACCTCAAACTTCAGCATTTATCGAGTAGTTGAGGGTCATAAGCAACCTAATTGATCAACTCATCGTTTTCATTGAGTTTTGAAAATAGGCTAGCCCTACACCTCGACACTAAATGTGTGGTGCAGCTAAAGCACCCAAGTGACTGACAATTAATGAAGGTTAGCCAAGAAAAGCAAAGCCCGAGATAACTATGAGAACTTAATTAGTTGCAGGCTTGCCGTGTTGAGTTTGGCTAATTTATTAAGTTATTTTGATGTAGGATTGATGCCGGTAAAAAGCCCGCTCCTAAGGTGGATGACTTATCTTTTGAAGTGCCCCGTTTTTTACATCCATAAGATAAAAATATATGATTTTGGTAATTATTTATCTTTGATCATAACAAGGATATTTCGCGATTTTGAAGAAATCTTTTAAGTGTCTAATTACTACCTTTGTAACAAATGTTTTATTCGGCTGGAGTAACTATAAGTAAAAGATTGTTTTCTCCTTCAAAGCTTATATATATATACACACATATATATATATATATATATATATATGTATGCATGTATGTATGTATGCATGTATGTATGTATGTATGTATGTATGTATGTATGTATGTATGTA